ACTTTTTACTGAAATTTAATGTTTTAATTAATCTTTTGGTAGTACTGGGGGTCGAATGAAGGTCCTCAAACTTGCTAGGCAGGCATTCCACCACTTGAGTCTCACCTCCTTGGCCTATTTTGGAGATAGAATCTTGTGTTGTGCACAGGCCATCCTGGACTGCAGTCTTCCTATTTATGCTTTTTTTATAGCTGGAATGACAGGCATGCACCATCACAGTTAACCTATTTGTTGATGTAGAGTCTCATTAGCTTTTTGCCTATCTAGCTCCAAACTGCATTCCTCCAGTCTCTGTCTCCTGAATAGCTGAGATGATAGAACTGAGCCTCCATGCTCAATCCACTGAAATATATTTCTTTTTTAATTTGCAAATGCTAAAAACACATGGGTTACAGCTACATAAGCCAAGTAAAGAGTATATTTTCTTTTGGACAATATCACTCCTTTCCTTACTGTCTCCCAGTGTTTCCTTCCCATCCCACCTACAAGATATATAGATCATTTTCAACATAGCATCCAGTGAATACCAATGCAGCATTTGATCACTCCCTGGCCCTCCACTTTACACTCACAAAGGCAAACAAATAAGTCAAAAAGAAAAGAAAACAAAAATAGCACATAAAGAAAAAGCCTCTTGCTTCCATTTCCTAGAGTTCATTTTGATAAATATTATTTTGTATGATCAGATGCACATATGGTCCTCAGTGTGTCCTTTGGTCTCATAGTGTAAAATTTATTTTTTAACTTAAATATAAAAATGTCAAAGAATATACATATTCATAGTGTAGCCATTAATGTTTGGATATTCACACAATGTACATTGCGTAATGTATAAGTCAAAGTAAATATATCTATCTCCTAAAATATTTCTCATTTCTTTATGGCTAAAGTTATGAATAAAATGATTTTTGGAACTGAGAAGACATCAAAGTACAAATAACATATATATTATGTATTATATATATATATATAGCACACAACCATTCATTAGCATGTTAATAATGCTAGTTTTATATATATATTAGATAAAATTTCAACATAATTGAACCATAAATCATCATTAGCACATATATGTATAATCATTAACAAAATTGAAAGTACATTTACTAAAATATCACATGCATCTCAGAATTATGTCTTAAATTTAGCTTTTTTATTATTTTATTTAAGTTTTTCAGAAAATAATCTTTTTAAACCTTTTAGAAATGTTAGTTTTGTCTCATTTTTTAAAATTATTTTTATTATCTTTAAGTAGTTGTACAAAGGAGTTGCCTTTCACTAAAACAGTTTTTTAATATAATGCATCTTGATCACTGTCAACATTCTCAACCACCCATCCCAACTCACCCCTTCCCTTACTTATGAAAATGATGTTTTCTAAACGGCCTACTTAATTATGTTCACAAACCAATAAATATAACATGTTCTCAAACCAATAAATATAGCCAGGCATGTAGGCAGAGTTCTGCAGTCAGGCCCATTAGAGACTGAGCAGGGGAATAATAAGTTTCAGATCAGCCTGGGCTACATAGTGAGAACTTTTCTCCAAAATAAGTATTCAAATGTTTTTCTTTCATGCGATTGTTTCTAACATATTTATAAGATGATTTCTTTGTTGCTTTGTATGTTCCTCCCCCACGATATAACCCCTGCTTTCGCTGTATTTGATGTCGGTATAATTTGTGGAGGGGAAAGAAAAAAACAAATCGTTTAAATAGGGATACAGGTGGACCCATTGCAACAATGAGATGTACAAGTCGTTTTGTCGAAAACGAACTTTACAACTTTGGTGGGGGGGCGATTCCGTTGGGGACTTGGGGGGGGGAGGCTGGGAAGGGATGGGAAGGGGAAACAAGGAGGAGGCTACAATGCTTGATAAGACATATACTCATTATCTCGCCAATGTAATTGTAACCCCTCTGTACAGTATTTTCACAATAAAAAAAAAAAAGAAAAACGAACTTTACAACTTTGGGAGGGGGGAAGATGGGGGGCGGCGGGGAGGGGGGGAAGGCAGAGATGGGAAGGGATAGGAAGGGGAAACAAAGGAGGAAGCAACAATGCTTGATAAAAAAATGTACTCATTATCTTGCTCATGTAATTGTAACTACTCTGTACGGTATTTTCATAATAAAAAAATTAAAATAATAAAAAAAATTAAAAAATTTTAAAAAATTAAAGGAAAAAAAGAAACTGTAAGCCAGGTGCTGGTGGCTCACGCCTATTATCCTAGCTATTCAGAAGGCTGAGATCTGAGGATTGTAGTTCAAAGCCAGCCTGGGCAGGAAAGTCTGTGAGACTCTTATCTCCAATAAACCACCAGAAAACTGGAAGTGCGCTGTGGCTCAAATAGTAGAGCACTCACCTGGAGCTGTACCTCAGCTGGAGGGAAAGCTTCCAGGCCCCAAGTTCAAGCACCACGACCACAAAAAAAAAAAAAAAAAAAAAAAAAAACCTAGCTACTTAGGAGGCTGAGATCTGACCATTCAAAGCCAGCCCTGGCAGGGAAGTCTGTGAGATTCTTATATCCAATAAATCACCAGAAAACCAGAAGTGGTGCTGTGGCTCAAGCGGTAGAGCGCTGGCCTTAAGTTGAATAGTTCAGGGACAGCGCCCAGGCCCAGAGTTCAAGTCTCACGACATACACACACACACACACACACACACACAAAACAGTATGTTTTTACTAAATGATTTTTAAATATTGAAATATCTCTGTTTTTTTATTTTGTATAGTCCCTCATCACCAGCAACATTTCATCTATAAAATGTTTGTTGTTTTAAAGCTGGAAAGGGAAGAACACAGATTTTATTCGTACTTCTAAAAAATTTCATTTAAATTTTTTTCCTGAAAGGGTCAAAAGGGTCTATAAATAAATAGGGCACCACATTTTAGACTCCTTCATACTTAAAAATGCAAGTGTGGGCAGTATAATGATACCATGAAGTGATTTTAAACTTTTTCAAACAAATCTATTGCACTGCTGGCAATCATAATATTTTCCAAATTCTCTTTCAGCTTTTATCCAAATACATACATACTTTAGTCCATTTGCGATCATAATATATAGCAAATCTTCTATTCAAACTTTTTATTTTATATTTTATACTTATTATCATTCTATGCTTATTTGTGATAATTATCTGAATGTATAAATTTACATGCCATTACATCAGCTAATCTACTATACAGTTTAGTACTAGCTGTTCACATTTTCATTACAATCCAATGGTTCATTGACTAGCTGATTTTAATAGCATCTTATAAAGCAGACATTAAAATTATAATTTTAAAAAAGGAAAAGAAGAAAAAATACTTTTCACTTTTGAGAATATCCTCGTTTACATGATTACAAATGTTAGATTGACATAGAGGACATCTTCAAGCATATAAAATTAGGGAGTTTCAGAGGAATCTTGGAATTACCCTTTTCGATGATATGTTCCTATGCCATGGTTTTACCATGGATATCATTTAAGGTTTTTCCTTAACAATTTCAAACATCTCATTCCTTGATTCCCATCCACAGCTGAGGGATTAGGTGTCACTTCTTGTGTTCAAATGATTATTCACATTGTTCTATCTAGGGTTTACTTCAGTTTCTTTTTATTGTCAGACCATTTGACTGCCTTCATCGAAAGGTTGCAAGCATCTAAGAGTATTGTTTCTAATTCTGTAGTTAGCATAGTTCTAACTCTACAGAAGTTGTGCAACAGTTGTTGTGGTGGTTGGAATTTTTATATCAGTGAAGGAAGACAGTATTGTGTATCAAAACTTCATTTTAGACAGTCATTCAGGATGGTTTTCATCTGGTCTCTTATCTAATATGCCCAAGCACTGTGTACATTGTGTTGCAAGATTCTAGGAGTTTATTACAGTTTATGAGCTTCAGATGATAAAGAAGTATCCTTTGAGAAACCCACATGAAAAAAGTTAGATTGGGAGGAGCCTTTAAGGATGAATAGGACTTATAGAGATGAATAAGGATGGGAAGAATTCACTATATATTTAAAACACAAACACAACCATTAAATGTAATTTATAATTTTTGAAGAATATAGATATAAATGATCACAGTCCTATTAATAACTGAAATATCAACTACAATTGTGATTCTTTTATCATAATATTTGTTTTTGGGAAGAAAGGACAATGCTAGAGACCATAATAAGCGGAGTCTCTTTAACAAAGACTTTTAGCAGGAAGCCTTCTTTCCCAACATAAAAAAAGAGAAACTTCTTTCCTGTAGTCCTTGGCCTATGACAAATTCTCTTTCATCTAGGTAGGTGAACATTAAGGTGTGTCCCATCTAATTTCCACACCAATATCAAAACTGGGTTCTAAGAACCAGAACGCTATCCAAAACTGTGGAAAATTACTGGTTAAATCCATAAAAATGTTTAATTAAAACTGAACACACTCTGTAGATTTCAGGGTATCAAACATTCTTTAAAGAGTACTAGTATTAAAGTAGCAGTAAAAATTCCAGGGCAGAATGTTCATGAAAGGATGATACATGATTGAAGGAGACAGAGAGTTATGAGTTGGAAAAGATTCAAACCATAATGGAGGGTTCGAGTTGGAAGAGCTATTTGTTTTCTGTTAAAGAGCTAAAAAGAAGTTGACATAATTCTCAACGTGGATTCTAGGTAGTAAGAAGAGCAGCTGTTCCTCTTCCAAAACCCTAAAAAGGTACAACATCCTTTCCAAACCAGGTGAGATTGTGATGCTTCTTGAGTCAACACAACTGAATTTGAAACTTTGCCCCTACTTACGTCATATATTATTTATTATTTATGGGGGAGCATATGCACAGCTCACGTTTTACTAATGTTTTTAAGTGAATTAGTAAATGCTAGGAAAGCACTTTGAAGATGAAATATTGTGTAAGCTCTAAGTATTATCATTATGCCATTATCATAAAACATATTAAAAATCAGAGAATTTTGTACGCTGGGTAGGTAGAGAATGACTGTGCTGCCCATCACTCCAGGGGAAGATGGCAAAGGGACAGCCACGGGAGAGGCAGGAAGAACGGGCATCTCTGCAGGATGGGTAAGTTGAAAGGGGTAATGCAGGAGAGTTTGCCTTGGTTCTTGAGGTAACTTTTCTGAAGTTTAAAAAAAAAAAGGTCAAATTTGTTAAAGCTACTTAATTTATACTTGAATGTTTTTAAAGCGTTCTCTCAACTTTACTGTAGCAATAGGAGCAATACAAATCCAAAACGAAAATGATTAAGATGGGTATGTTTTCATCATGACAGTCTATTCTGGTTAATTCGGTTGAGAAAATTTTCAATTATGATCAGGAAGTATAAAAATGTAATTGCCCTAATTTGTAGGTGTTTGGGTATTTTATCTTAATTTCACTAAGAACATAAAAAGATACTAGGATATATGTGTATTTCTAATGATGTATGTTAATATAGAGACATAAATACATTGGCAACATGCTGTGGTCTTCCGTTTTAAGTGTTGAGATATCACAGGCTCACTGCTATGTCTTTTAATGATATGATTTAAAGTTTAATTGGAAACAGGAGTGTTTCTTATTAATAATATCATATGTTTACATAGTAGTTGGCCTGACAGCCAAATAAAGATGCACATACAAATGGAAAAATAATTTTTACATTTTAATCCTTAAGTCAAATTAACAGTGTTCACACACACATTCACCTTTCCTAACAATGTCACAAAATGAATTTTGATAATCCATTGAGACTGATACCTTAAAATAAAATTTTACATGAATTGTTTAGCTTGATATCATGCCAATCATGATAGAATCATCTAGATGCTAAGTGAGCAGCACAATATTTGACAAAACAAAACTTCCCAATAAAGTTTTAATAACGTAAATTTTTGTACTCATATTGCATTTAACTTAATGTAATTTCACATTACATTTCTCTCAATTGTAGGGGAAACACTGAAATTTTTTCATCAAATTGTTATTTTAATTCTTTCGATTTACAGTACTCCAGCAAAATCTTCATTTCTGTTTCCAAATCTGTTCTATGTCCTTCATAACAACTTAATCAGTTACTTATACTCCATAAACAATATCTGAGAAATAATATATAGACAAATAATGTATAGACAAATGTATAGATAATAATGTATAGAAAAATCCTGGTTTCATGTCAAGGAATTAAAATTTTTTGAAAACAATTCACTAGTGTTTCTAAAAATCCCTAATTAATTCTTATATCTCTCATTACTATATTATTTTTTAACATTTAATTGGTTTTTAACATTTAAGTTTATTGACACATACTGTGAGTCAGTAAACTCATATAGAAAATTAAGATATGATGTGAAAGCATAGTAGGTTTTTCTTTTTTGGCTTTTTTATTTTTAATACTTTTTCATTGTAAAAATTCTGTACAGAGGGGTTACAGTTACATGAGCAAGGTAATGAGTACATTTCCTATCCAGCATTGCTACTTCCTCCTTTGTTTTTCCCCTACCATCCCTTCCCTCCCACCTCCTCAACTACACTCTCCCGACTCCTTGCCTAAATTATAAAGTTCGTTTTTCAACATAGTGTCTTGTACATCTCATTGTTACAATGGGTCAACCTGTATCTCTATTTAAGCATTTTGTTTTTTCCCTTCCCCTCCATAAGCTAGAGAAGCATACATACAAGATGTAGGGCACTGACATAAAATACAGTGAACATACAAAGAAACAAAAAAATCACATGGTACATTATAAATACATTAGGAACAATAGCAAGAAAGAAAAAAAAACACTTGTGTCCCCACTTGGGGTTCATTTTGCTTAACGTCATCTTATCTGGTCATACATACATAGGTTTTTCTATTCCCCATATCAACTCACCTCAAGGTGCAATTTCTATTCAACATTGAGTGATTTTTTTTAACAAATATTCTGCCCAATGCTTTAAAAAAGGGGAAAATAGAATTAACATTTCTCATACTGCTATTAAAGAATGATCTAAAGAAAAGCATCTGAATATGGACAAAGTTGAATTTTTTAATTTAGGGACATACACAGAATAATCATTCTTCAAATCAATAAAACCTTTTAAAATAAGAATATCTGAATCTGAAAGAAGAAATTGAACCCCAAATGAAACCCCAAATATATTAAAAAATAACCAAAGGACAAATTGCTACCTATATTACTAGTCTTCTCTAGACTTAAAATATCCCAAAGAGAAAATATTGTTTAGTTTGTCCCTTCTGTAACATTTAGAAAACAACACAAGTGATTGATTGTAAAGTCTTTTCCAACTTCACACTAGGAATTTCTCTCACTCTAGGAAAAATGTTCTAAGGAAGGTTGAAATCAAATAATGCAAATTATTAGACAAGAAGCACAGATAAATTGGAAGGGAAAACAATAAACAAAGGCTTCTGTAGACACGTAGACTGAATTATTATAAAAATTCCAATATTCATTTTATTTGATTTAATAATACAAAATTTTTTCTATGGTTCAATTTATTAGAAGGGTACAGTGGAGGAATTAAAAAGTATACCTCAAATATTCACCACATTAGACTTCTCATTTATTTCTCAGTTTTCATTAGTGCTGATCCCATGCAAATTATATTGATTATAGGCAAACATATATTTATAATTATGAAGGAAATTTTCTAAAAATACATACTCAGGTGCAAGAAACTAATTTGTCAGGATTTACCTGACCAATCAGCTGATTTTTTTACCCAGACCTTTAAACATTGTTTTAGACTCAATAAGTGAGTTGATCAAATTGGAAAAGATATTTTCAACTCCTGGGCAGTATTTCCTGAGCCCAGGAGTTTAGAACTAGCCTGAGTAAGACAGCAAGGTCCATTCTTCTCCACCCAAGAAAAAGTTCTTTTTCTCTGAGCTTTTACATATATTTTAAGGTGCTTTTAATACACCAAAAAGTGTGTGGACATCATATATTTATAGAAGTATTGATATACTGACTTCTAAATGGTCAGCATGATTTCTTTTTTTTTTTTTAATTTTTTTTTTTTTTGG